TAATTTAGAAACTATAAAATATAAATTATATTTGTATTATTTTAAATATATATTATACTTTATTGAATTCTAAAGAATAATAAATATATAGAAAATGGTACGTACAATTCATAATTAACTAATATTACTTTTTAAGAGATATTTGTTTATTTATTCACAGAACTTCTTTTAATTTAAATAGGCTAAAAGTTGTTTTGAATCATTTTTTGTAGTTATAATTAGTAAAAATTATTGTGAATTTACAATAAATCATTTTATAAATTTTTTTTATTTGAAGGAAAAAACAATTATTATTAAAAAAAAATAATAAAAAAAAGATCTACGAAGGATTTGGAAATTAGAAGAAGCTAAAAACATAAAAAAGATGTTCTTTGAACTTCTTTGTTCAAGTGAAGAAAAAAAAAAAGAAATCTGAATTATTATATCTTAATGACTTGTTTAATACTTTTATTATTAGTTATTGTACTTTCTCTGTCTGAGAAGACAAGTTGTGCCTCACCTTATTACTTTTCACCATTATCAAGTGTAGAAAGCTCAATAACATTAACACCTGAACAGTTTAGTTCACAAACTATAAATTGTAATGGTCAAACCCAAGGAAATGGAATGTGGATTGATATTGCTAATCATTATGAATTTACTCTTTCTTTCCAAATAATTGCTTCTGAAGATATTACAATGCAATATTATACTGATTGTTCATCTGTGTGTCAAGCAGATAATAAAGAGGCTTTTCTTGTTCTTACTTCAGGACATCATCAATTAGTTTATGTTTCTTTTAATACACCATACAATACTATTTTCTTTTACCCAATCTCACAAGGTACAGTAAATAAACCAATCAAAGTAACTGATCCTTTTCCAAAGTCAATAGATACCACTCTTTCAATGAAAGATGAAAATGGTATTTACCAATCTTTTATTCTTTTAACTGTTAAAGAGCATTGGAAATATGGAATTAATATTGCTTCAACATTACCTATTACAACCAAAATTCAATGCTCTTCAATTTCTTTTAATAAAACATTTACTGATCAATATATTGAATTTGATAGTGAACAAGATAATACACAATTCCTTATTTCTTTTATTAGCCCATCTATTACAGTTATTAAAGTTACATTTAATCAAACATTCTTCCTTCCTACTTCAATTGAAGAAATTAACGTATATCCTTATATTAGATATGAAACTGTTCCACCTTCATCACTTCCTGATTCAACTGAAATTTTTGGATATAACTATCAAATTAATCCTCAATCAAATTATCAATACTTTGTTGATTTATGTTCTTCTTCAGACACTAATATTACCTTTGGCCTTTTATCTTCTGATTACAAAATTCAATCTCTTCCATGTATTTCTTCAAGTGGAATTAAATACAGTTTTAATACTTCAGACTCGGTTAATCCATTTTTATTTAGAATAGGTTTTACTTCAGTAAGTCCAAATGCTCGTACATTTGTTCTTCAAGTACATAACCAAAAATTAGATAACTCATCAACATCATCAAAAATAATACTTACGGTAGTTATTGCTTCTATTTTATTTGTTCTTATATGCCTTATTCTTGTTACTATTATTTGTGTTTTGCGCTTAATAAAAAAGAAATCAAAGTATACTTCAATCGGAGAAGAAGCTTATCCAACAATTATTTCTGCTTAATTTACTATTTTTTTATTATTAATGTTATTTAATCTTAATGAAATTATTCCTCTGGATTTTATGATATTAAAATTGATTTTGATTACAAGATTTATTTCTTAGATTGAAATAAGATTTATCAAAAGAAATATTATTAAAATACTTCTTCAAACAAAATTCCTAAAAAGTTTTATGCATCAATTACAATAAAATGAAAGGGTATTATTCTTATTAGTATATAAGAATTAAAAGAATAAAGAGTTGCAAATGAAAAGAAATCATTATTCTCATAATGTTTCATTTGATAAAGCTAATTTTTCGATCAAAAAAGAACAACAAAGAAATGAATCTCTTAACTATTTTGATGTTATACAAAAAACTTTAAAAGAAATTGCCTTCGAATCTCTGAAAAGGAGGAAAAAAGCAGAAAAGAAAATGAATAGAAGAGTTGCATGGTAATACCTCAGTCAGGTCATTTTATATTTACTCTTATTTCTTGTTTGTATTGGTAATGTTCATAAAGTACTTTGAACTAGTTTTTTTCTTTCAAGAACATTATTTTCTGAAGTATTATTCTGTTCGGTTATTTATTGTTTTATCTCCATTCTTTTATTTTCATAAAGATTTCTTTACAAGAATTTTAATTGAAAATTCAAAATAATTTGAAAAGAGTATGTACAAAGTTTGCCTATTACAGTTATTTTCTTTGTACATCTGAAATATTTCTTCTTTGGTTATTAATCAATGATAAGTCATTAGTTTATTCACAATTTTATAACAATAGTAATAACTAACTTAGTCAAAGTCTTAGAAATAATGATAGTTAATATAAGTTCAAATTTTCAATAAATTTGTGTTTATGTCATTGATTTTCTGTTATAAAAATACCAACGGCATTTGTGAAATAAATTGCTATTTTCATAAAAAAGGAATTTGACTAAAATAAGTATTTTAAATAAAACATGGATTATAATTCTAAAAATATAATACAATACCCAAATATAATTTTTAAGAATAACTGGTGTTAGCGCACTAGGACTTTTATGTTGATCCTATCTAAATTTCAAACCATTTCTCTTCTAAAATGTTTGTCATATATAATTCTATTTATAAAGAAATTTTATTCATCTAATTTAATAATATTCTGGATAAATAGTACAAAAAAACAAAATGGAAGAATGTTATTTATTATAGAATAGGCACTTAATTAGATATTATTTACCAATATTTTAATATTACTACCATACCAAGTTTAAAAAGAAAGAAGTTTTATACTTTTTGTCTCACAAAGTATTGATTGAAAGAATTATTTTATTTAGTAAACACAGAAAATGGAATATATTTTCATTTTAATATATTATTGAAATTTCTAATTAATTTTATTTTTAGATAATTAATATTTCTTTGAGTTATACAACTAGTCAAGAGTTACTTGTTTATTTTTATTATCATATATATTATTTAATCATATATCTAATAAGTATTTGATTCAGATCAATAACACGATATCCATAATATTTTAATACAAACAAATCTTTAATGTAAAAAGTTATGAAATATATTGAATGAGAACAATTAGTTGTACTATTATTTTATATATTAATTTAAAAATAGAACCTCATTGTGATTAAAAGAAAAAGATTTATAAATATAAATTATCTATTTTCAGTTTTGCTAAAACATGAAAAATACTCAGAACAATATGTACTAACATAATATAAAAGTTGTTATTATCTGGATTTATAGTTCTTATTACTGAGTTATTTTTATAAAACGAAAAATTTAATATTTTTATGTTTTATAAAACAAAATAATAATATAAAAAAATCAAAACTAAATTAAAGTCAAAAAGATTCCTTTTTATTAAAATTCAAACTGACGTGCTTATCTTTATGTTTTTTCAATGGAAGAAAGGAAAATTGAAAATGAAAAGGGGGGTTAGTTATTTTGAGAAATTGACAAAAAATAATCATAAAATACAAAATCACACTTAAAAGGAAAGCCATTAGACAGACAAATTTGAAAGGAAAGAACTATCACAACGCTGTATTACAGCACATTTTAAATCGAAACAGTGATGAGTTAAATAGTCATTGGTTTGTACTCCAATCGTTGGAATCTCTTTATTTAAAATAGTTACATTCGGAGATATTACTTTTTGTATGGTTTCAACAATTTGAGCACCTTTTTTCCCTGAAGTCCGTTTTGATACAAATCTATAACCAAACTCTGTTAAAAGGTCAATCAAAAGATGGAGTTGTTCTGTGATTTTATTTGTGTCGTATCTTCTTCTTGCAGTCTTTTCTGCTATACCATTTGATAAGTCTTGTAAATATTTTTCTTTACATCTTTGTTCTACGTATTCTTCAACTTTTATTGAATCATTACCTCTTCTAAGTTCGTTTATTTTGAAGTATTGACGAGTTACAACGGAACGTTTTGTAGGTATTTGAAGGGTAATTTCAAAATGGTTGTTCAATAATACTAATAAAACTCCTTGTTGATAAACTTGATAAGTACGTAATTTGAAGAAAGCATCATTTATCTTTTTTTGTCTTTTGTTTTTCTTTTCCATTTTAGTTTTGTCTGTTTGCATGAATTTGTTTAGTGAATTAATTTTTTAGATTCTGTCCTTTTTGTTGCGGTATATCTCAAATATTTAAATCGTTTATTCTATCAGTGATATCAATATTTCATTTATTATTTTGAATTTATTATTTTCTTCAGTATATGAAGGATTTTTAGAATGTATTATTCCTTTGCAATTTTATTGTCTATGAAATAAAAAGGAAAAGTCGATTTTAAAAATACTATGATTAGATTAACCAATTAATAATCATCTAATTTTTCTACTAATTCTTATTCCAACAAAAAAATAAATAAACAAAACCCCATTCTATTTTTATCAAATATTTTAAAAAATGTATGGCAAGTTAATGTTTCATATTCTTTTTAGTCTGAAAAAAAGGTGCATTTATTTATTATAAAAATATTATATTAATACGGAAAACCTTATTCCAAAAAACACCCAAATATATTGAAGTTTATTTATATTAGATAAAATAAAAGAATTTTTTATTTATAAGAGATTACACAAAATAGTACCATTAAAATATTAACACTTTAAAATTGACAAAAATGAGTCAAGTGTTAGATATTTCTTTCATATTTTAGTAATTATTGTTTTTTATTCTTGCAAAAACTTATTTATGATATTATTGTTATAATATTTTTATTCATTATTTTATATATCAACTCAATTATTGATTATATTGTAATGTTCATTTTTCAATAACTTATTTTATTTTTATATAAATAGTATTTAATTTATTTACTGTTCATTCTATTACTTTTTTAATATCATTTTTTAATTATTATATTCACGCAAATACTCTTATCATGTACTTTCTTCATCGTTATAATTTTGCGTCATTTATTAATTACTTTATATATCTGTATTTGTATTTAAACAAAGTCTTATTAGTATTTTCTTTAGCATATTCATTTCACACTAATATTAACTAAATGTTGTAACACAATATCTACTTTATAAGTATTTCTGCATCTATTTATATTTCATAGAAATTAGTATTTATTAAGAAATCTTTTGTAATGTTATTTTTTAAGACTCTTTTCAATAAAGTAGTAGTTTGGATAGAGTTATTTCTTTATTTATTATCTTTTTCAATAAGACAGTATTTTTCTGTAGTGTTGATAAAGTATATTCTTTAATTCCAGTTGTTTAATTTATTTTATTTGTATTTGTGCAGTTAACTTAACACCTTCTTTAAAAGTTTCTTTCTAATTTGTACTGTCTTATTTATTTTATTTACTTTTATTTGATTGTCTTATTCACATTTAAATATTGTTTAGATTTTTCTTTTCATTTTATCATATCATTTTAATAATAATTTTATGTTATAAAATTTGTATTATAATATTTCTTATTATAAAATAAATGAAGAGATGTATAAAAGAACTATCATAGTTATATAATGATAGCTTTTATTAATACACTTATTATTATAATTGTTATATTTCTGTCAATAGAAATAATATTTGTATTCACGAAACTTTATATTCTTTCTATTTCTTAATTGATATACTTTTCTCCTTATTTGACAATATTTATTTTATACTCTTTTAAAGTTCTTGTTTAAGGCACTTTTAAAGAATACGTATAAATTAATAGACCTATTAAAAAGGTATGAGTAGCTTAAAGATGACTAGAAAATAAATAAATGAAAAGAATTTAATCAATTATTTGTAGTTCTATCTTGTATATTTTTTTTATAAAGTTTTTACGTATTTTTAAAATTATTCTTTAATTTACCAATTAATTATATATATTGATTAAAATACCTATTACATTATTTGATATTTAAATTAATATAATCTAATTATTAGTTCTATATTTTCTTTCTGCTGAACCTTGTTAATTGAAACTTTATGAATATTCCAAATTATTAACAAGTACAATATTTTGGAGATAGTTTATATTCATTATGCCACTTTTTGGTGTTTTAAATTTTGACATATTCAAATGGTTTTATTCTCAGAATACTTGTCTTACTGTTAACATATTCTATTTAATAATTGTAATTAATAAAAATAATAATGTTGGTTATCAACATTATCAAAAACAAAAATAACGAATTATAAAAATTGAATTAAACAATGAAACGATTTGAAGACACTTTCAAACGGTCTTTTATAATTCAAATAATATCAAACTACAATTTAATCATTTAAAAAATTAGATAATGAAATATATTAATAATATTTTTATAATTGTTTAACATTTTGTTTTATTTTTATCTATTAATAATTCATATTCTTCTTAAAATATTTTATTGTTTATTCACCTTTGTTGTTATTAAAAATAAACCAAAAACAGAAAGGGAAAAAATGCCATAACATATTAACAACACATTTTATAAATAAAACAAACGGTTATTTATTTCGTTCAAAAATAAAAAACCATAAAAATTCCTTCACTTATTCAGAAAGGAGGAAAGAGC